AAATATATGAATATATAATTCCTAAAGTCACAGTTGGAAATGCGCTGCTTCGGGCTTACAGTTTTAGAGTCGCCCATTCAATGATAGAGAAAGCTTTCTTTTTGGATCTTTTTCTTTGTTTTCGATATGCTAAACAGATTCGAACCAGCAACCTTCAATCAAGTTAGTTGCCTGAATGATTTGTGTACGCGAACAGCTTATCTCTCGAGGATTACTATTTTCTGATATGCCTTTATGTATATTCAATTTACCTAATAATGCTATAGACATACTAGAGGAAATAACCCGGCATTGCTCGGACGAATGCTTAAAATAGTTTACACCTTTGTCGCTTCAATTTTGTGCAACTAACTAAACGGGGTTCTGTGAAGATTATAACAATCATTACAGAGTATTCTGCTCGGAGTCTTATCTTCCTCGTATAAAGTCTTCTATTCTAAACTATTAAGCATATAGTCGTAGTTTCTAATCGTTTTGTAGTTCGCGATTCGTGTCGTACGTTACACGACTGCGCCCCTCGGTCGGTTGGGCGGGAGGTGGGATGCAGTGCATTGCATCGGGATTCGCGCGAAAAAAAAAAATATATACATATGTATATAATATATATTTCTGCTGGATTTGAACTGGCGAGTAACCTTTTCGATGCTTCGAACTGCCCAAAAAATAATTACGTTTCGGGTTCGTCTCGTATTCAAAAATATAAATTAGTATTCTGGATTTGAACTAGCGACCTGCCGCTTGTTAGTTCGATGCTTAGAATTGCCCAACAACTGATTTAGTTTAAGATTAACTGGATTTGAACTAGCGACCTGCCGCTTAGTTACTAACAAACTAACGAAATCGACGCTCACGTTAAAGCGAAAAATTGGAATTCAGAGCTGAAATCGTTTTATTTTAAGTCCGGCTGCGATCTGTATATATATTTTCTTAATATCTACATCTAAACCGATTTGGATTTGGATTTTCAATCGATTCTTGGCCATTGTTGGTCCATTGTGCGGATTCGCTTGGCGCATTCGACATGTCAGAATTTGTGGATATTCTGTTTAAATACCGTAATGAAGTCTGCTTATACAATATAATGTACCGTGTTTGTGCTACGTGCCTTGGTTATGTTATTGCACGCTAAACCCGAACTTCTTTCCGCTCAGCATCCGCCAGCGGCGTCGAAGCGAGGGGTGGCTAAGGGGGGGGGGGGGCAAATCTGCCGGCTCTGGTTGTGTTTTTATTTGTATGCCGGCAAATCTTAAACTTGTTTTACTGCTCGTTAGTGTTAGTCGCGCGCTAGGAGAAGAGGGGGGAATAAAGAGGATAGGGCTGGTGTAGGGAATATTGCCACCATGACACCCTATTGTTATAACACGTTCCACGGACTCAGTCAGGATGAGGCTGAGCACGGATTGGGTTTAGAAACGGAGATGGAGATGGAGACTGACACCGAAACGACGGCGGCGGCGGCTGTTGAAGTCTGTGTTTGGCAACCAGGCACGGGAGTACACTAAAACTAGTCGAGCTCTGCTCCAAGGATGGCAACTGTTTGTGTCTGTGTGTGTTTATGCGTGTGCCAAGGTGCATGCTAAGTGCCACATCCTGTGGAAAGGAGCGCCTGGTGGGGGGCAGCTCCAGCTCCAGCTCTAGCCTCTATCGCTTGGCTCTGCTGGTAAATGTTTGTCCAGCATAATTGCGCTCAGCATGCACTTTTCCCCCCTTCGGAAGGGGACGCCTCCTGCCTCTACCCTTCTCCTTCTCCTCCTCCTGCCTCTCCCCCCGCCACAGCTCGAGCTGTTTTATCGTTTCCGAGTTTGGCTTTGCTTTTCAATTTTGCCTCATGCGGCCTGCTTTGGGCTCCGTTGTCGGCTGCTTTAAAGGATTTGGAACTTGTTTACGTGGCGTATTAGTAATAATTTCGAACGGAAGCCATCAAAGGCTCTGATGCGCCGCAGGCGGCATTGCAAATTATTTTCATATTGCCTGGGCTAACTAATACACCAACAGGCCCACAACTTGTTGTTGTCTGAGAGTTTGTGTCGAAATGAAAAATATGCTAACATATTCATGCATTTAGGCAGCTCAATTTATGATAAATGGCTCGAACTGCTTTAGTGCTCGAACTATTTCTAAAGAGTTGGCTAACTCTTCAGTCGAATGTGACTTAGCTCGCAAGCTGAGGCCTTAAAGGAACTCAGAAGAGTTTTTATATCTCAGCTATGGTTTCTACAAATTTATATATGCACATCAAATAGTTTGTGCTCTGCAAACGTCACGTCTGCGTAAGAAGCAGCAGGTCGCCGGCTCAAAAGTCAGCAGCTATTCTCTAATTTAATAGTTCTTTTATAGTAGACGGCAAATTTGGGTAGCTTTTTATATCTACATGAAGTTGAAGCAATTTATACAATCGAATTTGGAGCTTCTTGAATTTATATTGTTTTTCCAATTGAGCCGCGCAAAGCCGGCATATTACCTTCAGCACATTATAAAATTTGTTAAAGCCTTATTGTTGCCTTTTTCGAAATACATTCATATATTTTGATATTATTGAACTGATAGTTTATGAAGATAGATGAGATTTACAGGACAACCAGCTACATAAGATTTCTATATAACTATATCCTATATAACTTATTATCTAGAGAACTGTCTCAAGTTTTTGAATGAAAGTTGCAGAATCAATTGTTATATCATGTTTTTAATATAAATCAAACATTTACATTTACATATCTGGGGTGTTCTTTTCCGTCCTCTGTTTGTTAATGGAATAGAAAATAATAAAATTAGTCGACTAAGAGAGACACTTTTGCTATATCCTGCCGGACCATTCGAGTCCTTTAGTCGGCAGTTCGAAGACTGTTCGAAGACCCATAGTCGGGAGTCCTTACTTGGGACCCGTTCTTGGGGATTTTTACTCCGCTGATAGCCAAAGGCCCCTGGGCAACTAAAAAGTGGAGTCTTGACTAGTTATTATTCGGAACAAAAATATATATCCTAATCTCTTGTGTGTTTATTTGTGTTTATTTACTTTCTGCTGCAGAAAGTATATATAATACTATATCATAATATATTAATATATATCTATTTATATGTATAAATATTTGTTATAGATAGTTATCATAAAACTATTATTTAATAATAAAAATGACCAAGGTTTTGTTTATTAAACGTAACCTAATTAAAGCAATTACGAGCTATACTATCCTTCCAATATCTGTTCAAGCTCTTATGGGCGTGGAAGTACATTTTTTTAAAGTTTCTTGAATCTGCGGCACTTTAAACACTTTTTGAATAACTCAAACATTTATTTGCAATCAGCTGACATTACAAATATGCTTTGTAATTCCCAATCGAGTCGTCTTAATCGTTCGCCAGGGTGTTAAATCTCCGTCAAGTGGAAAGACAATTTTGTGCTTCAATTGGAGATGTTCACAATTGTCGGAGCAATCGCTGCTGTGACTGGCCATGACAATTACAGTCTTCGTGTTTAACCATAATAATCTGTTCAGTTATTTGTGTAATTAAACAAGCAATAAACCCCCAGTGGAAACGCTCCGCCAGCCAAGTGGAAGGGAAGCCCGGTCGAGAACCGAGTAAAACCCCAAAGTCGAAACCACTTTTGGGTTTGGGCTCTCTTGTTTGTTTGTTGTTTGTTAAATGTTATTATTGCTGCTGCCGCTGCTCCTGATGTAGCCGCAATTGTTGTTTGTACATTGGATGAGATTTAAAATGGTTTAATCAACTCACTGTCCATATATGAATAGCTATATATATATATATATATGTACATGTGTGTGCGTGTTTGTGTAAATATTTAGGATGATGTGCAAAGTGTTTTTAGTTGAGTTTGCGGCCAAAGTTAGCAAAACTTTGCGCAATTTTGCGGCTATTTTGTGAAAATGTAATCAACATTTTCCTTTATGCACTCAAATATCCAATAAACGTAAGCGCAGCAACTATTTACTCTTGTGCCTCGACTATTTATACCCTGTTAAAAGAGTATCAGAAAGTTGCAAACAGAAAGAATGTAAAAGGCGCAAGAAAGTTGATCAGTCTGCAGTAGATATATATTCTTGATCAGGTTGATGGGCTGACTTGATCTAAAAATAATCTTAATTTACTATACATATTATTTAGGAATATATACAATTAATAAGAAAAAGTAGAGCAAGAAGTTATCAATAATGTTAAGAAATGTATGCCAGATATATAGAGTGTTAAGTAGATGGGATTAAGAGATAATGATGGGAAATCCCCGGAATATTTATAGCCTGTCCGGCAAGCTATGCCCCTGCTCATAGCTGGAAATGGTTAATGAGCTCCCAAAAGTATCCTGAAAGCAACGATTTTACTAGGGCAAGAGAAAAGTCCGTGAAGAAAACGTGATACAAATTATTGTACTTTTTGCCATCCTTTTGTGTTCACCTACATAAATTTGATATGACAACTCGAATGTTATATAAAGATGAACTAAGTATATATTAATTTTTGAATACCCTTCCTCCTTCTACATAAATTTGTAAGAAAATCATTCTTAATAGTTAGCTTAGGAAATGTGCACCTCAGTTAAACAAACACAAATATCATTGGCAAATAAAGGCATTTGCGTGCAGGGTAGCTGCCAGTCGAGCACACCCGACTGGCGCACTCTCTTAACTGCTATAAACTATTAATATTAAGATGCTAAAGAATTTCGCACAATAGTTTTGTCTCGTTTCGCTTTAATAACTCAATTAAAATGCAGTTTAACGTGTAATTCATATATTTATTCATTTATTGTTTCGTTATAGGGTGTTATATATATGTGTGTGTGTGTGTATATATATATATAGATTTAAATGATTGGTATGTGTAGGTGTATTTTGTTGTAAATTGTGTGTATATATCACTTAAACAATAATTATTTAATTTGCTGGTTAATAACGCATCAATACAAATTAAGCGGCCAATTTGTTAAATGCACTTTTGCTGCATCAATTTTGATATTACAATTTCTCCCGTTGTTGTTCCTCTTCTTCTAGTTGTTGTTGTTGCTGTCTAGGTGCGCGTCAGCATCCCATTGATCATTATGTTGGCCAGGGCATTGCGCCTCTTGCGCCACGCCCCCATGCCCTGGGCGTGATACTGCAGCTGTGTGTACCATTGCTTGGTGCGCAGCCCGTCCTCGGCCTGAAGAGAGAGGGAGAATATGTTGTCAAAATATTTGATTGACTCGCCATTTAGACAGGTGTCACGTCTGTGTGTGTGTGCGTGTGTGTGTGTGTGTGTGCTCAGTTGGCCGCAACTAAACGTTAGAATTTATGCGCTCTCATCCTTTCGGGCCATGTTTTTTTTCTGCGCTTTGCCCGTCTTTTTATTCAATTTTTTTCTTCTTGTTGTTAAATTTCAATAAATGTCATTCATTTTGGCAGGCACTCTACGTGCGCATCTTCCAAAAAAAAGGGGGTGTGGCCGGCCCATTAACCAAACTCCCTCGCACACAAAGCAACCCCCAATCGCCCCCTCCCCCGTCACCATCCGGCGACTTAACATTGCCCCGGGCACAAAATACGCATGAGTGAAGCTGAAGCTACGGCTCGTTTTACATTAGACAGGATATCAAATGGATTTCTGCATACGCTTCTCTGTGTGTGTGCGTGTGTGTGTGCGTGTGTGTGTGCGTGTCTGTTATTAAAAATGAAATCTGTAGCATATTAAACGCGCAATATTCTGCCCCCAAGTGTATGCTACGCAACTCAACTGACAACTCTTCGCTGTGTGTGTGTGTGTTTTTTTTTTGTGTGTGTGTTTCAAATTCTATAAATAATATTTATTTGAGGTATTCCAGCTGGCTGCGTAAGCTCAAACTAGAGGGTAGTCCTCTAGTCGGATATGAATGCATATATATATATTGCTAGACAATCTAGAATCCTAAGTGTTGAATCCTATTTGATCGATCTGTAAACTTAATGCTCTATTCATGCTTCTGTTGTAAGCAATAACAAATCAAGTGAGAGAGAAGGGCATGCCGAAGATTTAATACCCTTGCAGAGCCAACCTTTTCATGATGCTTTGCCTGTATCTAAGAAGCACAGGGAAAATAGTTAATGCCGAGTATGGTTAAGTTATTTAGAAAAACAACTTAATTTTCGACTATGCCAGCTACATGATATAGTGGTCCGATCCAGCTGAATCCGACATATATATTTATTGCGTGCAACAGAGAGAGAGGGATGTATAAGAGTGAGAGACTCTAGTTCGCATAGAAACAGTCAGACGGACAGACGGACGGACATGTCTTAATCGACTCGGCTGTTGATTTAGATCAAGAATATATATACTTTATGGGGTCGGAGATGTCTACTTCAAAATTATTATATAGGAACCTCTGCCGGGGTATAAAAATGAAAACAAAGTTGCGTATTGCTGCTAGCATTGAACTAGTGACCTCTCGCACGCTAGTTCGACGCTCAGACACTTTGTTACGCTCGCAAAGCATGCTATTATGACTGCGTTCATCTTGATTTGTATCCTTCTCTTAAGAAGCCTTATTCCTCCAGTTCTCAAGCCAGATCAAACTAAAAATTAGGCTAACAACTTTCAGTTAAACCTTCAATTAAAGTGAATATCTGTGCATATCTGATAGTATATCTCTTCATACCAAGTCTAGACAGCTGTCGAGCTATTGTCGAGTGTTAATTGTATTCCCGCTGCTCTATTTACTCGCGAGGATCATCTGCTTGTGCACACTGAAACTCACACCCAACTCGCGTAAAGTAAAACTAAAGCCCGCCAAATGGCGAGGCAAAACTAACGAAGCCCAAACATTTGCCGGTGTGCAGTCAAAAGGCAAACGGTCCCATTTAAGAGTCAAGTCAACTGGCACGAATCAAACCGAAACCGAAACCGGGCTAAAAACTATGCACTGGAATGGAATGGAGCAAGTGGAAGAGGGAGAGAGCTGGGCTAGGCCAGGCCAGGCTGGGCTCGGCGTCTACTCACTTTGAATATGAATGTGTCCTTCGATGAAATTTCCTGCACTTCGAAATAATCATCGCAATCCGCTTCGCTGCACACAACACATCTGTCCAGATACAACGGCTCCCGTGTCAGCGTATACCTCCCGCACTTCTCCTTCACCAGCAGCAGCGATGCCTCCCGAATGCCCGTGTGCTTCGGGAAATTCAGTTTATCCGACGTGGCCTTCTCTGCCCTATAATTGGCACTTGGCTGTGGGTGAACAAAAACGAAAAAGAAAAAACAGATGGAAATAGAAAATTGTGTAAAACGAAACTAAACAAAATTAGAGCTGGAAAGCGGGCAAAGTGTGTGGGGGCAGCACGAAACATGGAGCCTGCCTCCAGATAACGCGAGCACACAAAGCCTGTCAGCCGGGCGGACAGTCGGACAGTCGGTCGGGCGGACAGTCGGTCGGTCGAACAGTCGGTCGGGCTGCCGCAGGAAGCAGCTAGACATGCAGCGCCAGGAACAGAACTAGATACAGCACCAAAACTACAACAAGCAAAAAAATATGACAAAAAAAACATCTGCCTCCTTCTTGAATTGAGCAATTGTCGTCTGAGGCTTTTGCGCTAAAATTTAGAGCAGGGCACAAAAACCAAACAAGTGACATACGCACTGCGTCGCTATCGATGTGCCACGCCCCCCTTTTCCACACACACATGCCACCTGCTACCCGGCCCACTTCCCGTTGGCCTTTTGGGTTTGTGGTAGTCTGCTTGTGGGCCACTTGACGCCATCGGTTTTGTATACCCTGTTTCCAATAAAAGTGGGTTGAATAGGGCATATTGCAGTTGGGCTAGTGGAACGGGCAGCTCCGAGTGTATTTAGCATAGGATAAACGATATGAGTCGGAATATATTTAAATTTTTATCGATTGTTCCCATATTATCTGTAAATCGATAATTATCGATGAGAGAATATGAGGCTTAATTGTTTTAATTAATGCCTTCTTCTATTTACCAAAAATCAATTAATATCGATTCGACGATAGTTTCCATATTCCCTTTAAACCGATACATATCGATTCGGGAATATGAGTTGTTATATCTTTGCCCATTTTAATTGATGCCTCCCTCTGTTTGCCAAAAATCCATTGATATCGGTTCGATAATGTGAGTCGGTATATTTTTGGTTTTCAATAGTTTCCATATTCCTCATAAATCGATAATTATCAATTCGAGAATATGAGTCTTTATATCTTTCTCATTTGTATTGATGCCTTTCTTATTATCCCAAAAATCGATAAATATCGATAATATGAGTCTTTATACTTTTCATTTTTATTGATGTCTCCCTCTGTTTGCCAAAAATCTATAAGTATCAATTCAAAGATGTGAGTCGCTTCCCTTTCAATCGATAAATATCGATTCTTAGCCTTTATATGTTTATATCTCGGAGATTTCTGGAGCCAAAGTCTCCAAATACGACATGTGTATTCATGTATTAAATGCAGAGATGAAAACTAATGCAAAGAGGAAGTGTCCAGCTTTTCTTCTGTTTATTCTCAACAAAAAACCTTACAGGGTATCTTGTAGACGACCACTCTCAAGTAGAGCACCCTCTTGCCTGGGTTTTCTTTTTCTTTTTTTTTTTGTTGCTTCAACAACGAATGGAAAACTCGTTTTGTTTTTAGGCATCAAAAGCAGATAGTTGCTTGGATAAGCACTTTTCATTAGGACAGGCAGGATGCGCTTCCGTTCCACTCGATGCGTCAACGGGCACTCGCCATGCTCCGCTCCCCTCCCCTCCCCTCCGCTCTCCTCAGCTCTACTCGGCTCTGGTCTGATTTGTTGAAATCTTTTATCGCACGGCAAAACTGTTGCCATGACATCAGCTCGACACGAGTGCCCACTCCCAATCCCACTGCCACTTCCACTTTAGAAGGCGTGATCCTATGAAGAGGTGTAGTGAACGGAAGGTGGCAGGAGAGAAGGGGAGAGAGGGGGAAGAGGGGATGTCTATTAGGTGCAAGCGCCGCTCGCTAATTGCCCACACCTCATGTCAAACGCCTGAGCATCGTTTGGCGCTTGTCGCTTGTCAAACGTGACCAGAGCCGCAGCTGAAGAAGGAGCAGGAGTAACAGGCTCGCACTGCAGGCTTAGAGCAGGACTCGTGCCACGCAGCCTGCCAGTTGGCTTTGCAGAGTTCTGGCAAAAAAAAAATATCGAAACGTCTATGGGTCAATTTTCACGAATGCAATTTTCACCGAGCTTAACTGGATGTTTCTGTCCTTGGATGTTTCTATTCTTGGAGGTTTCTTTTCTGGGATGTTCCTTTCTAGGATGTTTCTTTTCTTCGAAATTTCTAGGATGTTTCATTTCTAGGATGTTTCATTTCTTGGATGTTTCTTTTCTTGGAATTTTCTTTTCATTGATATTTCTTTTCTTGGATGTTTCTTTACTTGAATGTTTCTTTTCTGGGCTGTTCCTTTCTAGGATGTTTCATTTCTAGGATGTTTCTTTTCTCAGATGTTTCTTTTCTTGGAGGTTTCTTTTCTTGGAATTTTCTTATTATAGATATTTCTTTTCATGGACGTTATTCTCTTTTTGATGTTGTCTTGGCTGTTTTCTTTTCTTTGATGTTTCCTTTCTTGGATGTTTCTTTTCTTGGATGTTTCTTTTATTGGATGTTTCTTTTCCTGGATGTTTCTTTTCTTGTGCGTTTCTTTTCTTGGACCTTTCGGTCTGTTTGTTTCTCGGACATCCAACAAAGAGAATAGTAGGTGCCAAAGAAGCTTCCGAATCACCTCAAAAAGAAGCACATGGAGTGCAATCTATGGAATACAAGACAGACTTTTCCCTATAGTTTCCCAATAGTTAATATAATATTTGCTAGTTCTGGGGAAAGGCTTTCAATATGAATATTCCGAAATATTTGTAGCTTTGATGAACAAAATTCATATCACAAAAAAAGGGTTTACAAATGATTTACATTCTTTTATAAATGGAACATTTTTGGGAATTATCGATTTATCGTTATCGAATATTCCGATACATCTGGTTTCTGCGATTAATCGCTATCTCCTATTCCGATACATCACAGCTTCGATTAATTCCTTGACGAGTTTCCATGTTCATTTCGGACTACCTAGTTGTGGCTTCTGCGATTAATCGGTATCGAATATTCCGATACATCACAGGACTCCTAGTTGTGGCTTCTGCGAGTGTGGGACGTGACTCACGCAGTTATCACATTCGCCAGCTCTGCCACCCTTAATCCCGACCCCTTGCCGACTCACCTTGCCATTGGTCACGAGCAGCGCGTTGACTGGATTCAGCTTGATGGTGCGCGCCTTCTTCCAGTTGCTGTCGGCTGGCTGCGTGTAGAGCAGCTTGCCCTCCATGGCGAAACGGACCTCATCGTGATTCCACTCGAGTATGTCGATGGCCATTTTGCGCAGCTTGATGTTTATCATATCAATTTCGCACGAGGCGCGCCGATTGGGACTCGACGAGCTGATGCGGCGCCACAGTTTGGTGGGGACATCCTTGGCCTCCTGGTTGATGTGATTCAAATGCAATTCAATTTTCTCCTGCGCCTGTTTCAGCAGCTCACGTCCCTCCAGATGGGCCGGCGTCACCTTATACAAGCGCGCCAGCAGCAACGGATACTTGGTGACGCGCTGCACGGGCACCTGGAGGATGGGAGAGAGAAGGAGGAGGAGAGAGGGAGACGGAAACGGAAACAGACGTTTAGGGGCCAGTCATGAATATAAAAGACAGACGCGAACTTACCATGAGAAACGAGTTGAGATTCATGCGACGCAGCACGGCATTCTCCATTTGGGACACCTTGAGGAAGATGCGCAGCAGCTCCTTCTCCTTTTCGAGATTGGCCAACAGCAGGCTGGCGCCCGCCTGCCGCACACAATAGCTCTCGAAGGCGTGCAGCATTTGGGTAAAGTCAAGAAAGATGCGTCCAATATTCACGGTGAGCAAATCGTCGTCGCCCTGCTCCAAGGCAATATCGAGGGCATCGCGCATACGCTCGGCCAGCGTTTGATTGTTCTCGAGCAAGTCTTCCGTATTGAGGAAGATTGCGGAGAGCTGCTCCTGGGTGAGCAGGCCGGCCACCAGCATCGGCTGGCAGAACTCCTCCAGTATGATTTGCAAATCGCGACCATATTTCTCCTCCGTCTCGACAATCTCGGTGATGATCTCCTTGCGTTCGACGCGCTTCTTGCCGCACTTGCGGCACACGAGCGGCGCATAGAGGACGCCCGCCTCGCTCAGCTGCGTCTCGACGGCGCCGTCGCAATCCTCGCACAGATGCAGCGGACTCACCGCGGGCAACTGGTACTTGCTGCGCGACGATTTGCTTGTCTCGGAGCCGACGCCCGAGTCCTGGCGCTCCACATCGCCGCCGCCGCTCTTGCCGCAGATGAAGTTGTGCGGCGGCGGCGACAAGGAGCTCATATTGCTGTGGCTCTCGTCGCAGCTGACCCGCTTCTCCAGCTCGCTGAGCGTATCGGCGGCCTCCTCCTCGATAATCTTCGGATTGTTGCTGTAGCTGTCGAAGCTCTCCTCGCGCACCAGGCCCCGCTCCTTGGCGTCCACCAGATACGAGAGTATATCGTATTTGGATGCGCCCTCGAATATCGAGCGTGCCGCCTTCTTCTCCAGCTCGGCATCGTTTAGGGGCGGTGCCGTCAGCGGCAACGGCGGCGGCACCTCGTTGATCTCCTCGTAAATCGGATCCGTCTGATGCCGTATGGACTCGTAATGATGCTCCGTTTCCGTGGGCGCCGTGCTATGCTCGATCTCGGCCAGCGTCGCATCCACCAGCAGCTGATAGAACTTGGCGCGCGTAGACGCATCTACCTCCGGCCCGGACACCGGCTCCGACTCGGTTTCATCCTCCTCCTCTAGTGCGCCGGCGGCGGCCAGCTCGCTGGAGCAGCTCTGATAGCAGTCGGATTCGTTGGCGGCCGCCTCGAAGTCGAACAGCTCGTAGTTGTGGGCGGAGGCGAAGCTGTTGGCGGAGCTGATGCTGCCGCGATTGGACAGACGATCCTCCTCCTGTTCTTTGGTGCCGCTCGACCCGGGCTGTCGCTCCAGGCGCACCCGCTGCAGCGAGACGCTGATCAGCCGGTTCATGTCGTCGTGATCTTTGGTGCCGCTCATGTCGATCGTTTGCCGCGTCCGTTGCAGACGCTGCAGCGAGTTCTCGATCAGCTCCGCCACGGTGTCCGTTTCCAGGCCATCGGCCACCTGGCCCAGCATCGGATCCTGCAGCAGCTTGGCTATAAAACTGCTCGCCTCCTTAATGGGCGTGGACGTGGCCGTGGCAGCTGCCTCCTGCATCTTCTTGCTGCGCGTCGTCTCCGCCGTCGAGGGCACCCGTAAGCCGCAAACGTGCGGCACCAGATTACGCTTGACAGCCTCGACGGGATTACGTAGGATCTTCAGCAGCTCCGTCTCGTGCGGCACCAGCTCCGCATCGGGTGAGGGCGGCGGTGGAGGCGTGGCTGGCGTTGAGCATATTGTAGGCGGCGGTGATGGTGTATTAATGGGCGTGGTTGTGGTAGCTGCCGCCAGCTGCCTGGTGGACAGATCCTTGTCATAGTCGAGCCGGATGAGCGTGCGGCCGCGTCCGCTGGAGCTGCTGCTGCTCGACGTCGAGCTGCTCGAGGTGGAGGAGATGCAAGAGGCGGAACGCTGCAAATTCACCTCGCCGCCAATGCTGCTCCGGATCGGTATTATCGCAGCCAGATGCTGCTGCTGCTGCTGCTGACTGCGCAGCGTATTGAGCAGATTGTGCTGCTCGATGAGCTCCGCGGCGCTGCTGACGCTGATGCAGACGCTGTTCGCCGTCTGGCTATTGACCACCACGGAGGACTGGTACAGCGGCTGGGCGGCATCCGTGCTGAGATTCATTGTCGAGTAGCAATCGTCGCCGCTAATCAGTATCGATGTCTTCTTGGGCAGCAGCAGCCGTGTGGCGGGCGTGGTTCCATTGTGTTCCACTTCTTGCTGTTCGCTGTGCGAGATTTTCAGGCGATGCACCTCGCTGCTCTTGTTGAACGGCGCCACACGGACCACAGTCCTTTGCTGGCGTGGAGCCGGAGCAGCAGTTGACTTATTGATTTGCGGCTGCTGCTTCTCTAATCCGTTTGCGGTCGTCGTCATCGTCGTCGTCGTTGGCGGCGGCGGCGGCGGCTCTGTGGGCCGCCTTTGAAATAAATCTCTCGAGTCGTTGCGGTTGCTTTTTATGCGCAGCGCCATTGTGTCCTTAAAATTTAAAATGACATTCTGCGGCCCGCTCGCCGCAGCTCGCAGGCTCCCAGCCTGGCCAGGCTCTGTCCTGGTCGACTTGGTCGAGTCGGAGCTGGGCGCGGCAGACAAATGCCTTTCGCTGTGAGCGCGTCTGATGGGATTTCGCGATTGTGTCGTTTGTGCTGCACGCTTCTGACTTGCCCGCGGCCTCCCAACCAGCTCCAGCTCCAGCTCCAGCTCCTCCTGCTCCTGCTCGTTGTCCTCAGCTTCAGCCTGGTGCTGCTCCTTGTCGTTGTTATTGTTGCTGTCGTTGTGCTCGTCATCATCGTCATAATCGCGATTTGCCGCCGTCGTCTTTTGGGCTCTCGTTCTCGCAGTTGTTGTTGTGGTGCCTGGAAAGGAGTAGATGGCAAGTGGTGAATCGCGTGTCGCAGCTAGCAAAATGTTGCTTTTGCAAAATAAACCCAAGACAGCCAAAGCAGGCAAGCGAAGGCTTTCAGCTGATGAACGGGGGTCGCGGGGGTCGGTGCTTGGGTGCAGGACATTGAAATAACTAAACAGGGTGATTTTAGAGTTGTGACTACAGTCAAGTTGGGCTGCGGATACTCTATCGCTAAATTTGTATTTTTTATTTATTTATATATCAATGGTCGACAAAAACGAGTGTCTGCCTAATGGGCTGAAATGGGTCGAAGTACATTTTCCTTTATATTGAATCTGAATAATAATTTATACTCTTCTTTAACTACACTGCGCAAAACGATTTTACGAATATAATAGTCCTATTGAAGATAATTTTCTTGCACTCTTAGCTACACTGCGCTAAAAAAAAAGATATACTAAAAGCTTGTGTAAGTGGCTTAAAATATTTAACCATTTGTTACTTTAATCTGAAATACATTTCGTTCTTTAATGAGAGATCTTGGGGTTAGTTTAATTAATTTCTCTAACTGCACTTTTACCCATTTTTTTATGGCTAAATACGTTGTCGACTTGGCAGCACTGCAAAATTGCAACTTAAGTAGTCCTATTGGAGAAATTTTCCTTGCACTCTTAGCATTTGCTCTGGTTACACTGCGCGAAAAAATGCTTTTAAAATGCTTAGTAATTTTTTTCTTTCAATTCGAATCATCTTGTGTTCTTAAAAAGGAAGTTTTCATGTTCTTTCTTCTACTTTCAATTTAAAAAATATATACATCTTTCTACATAAAGAGATTTCGTGCTTAGTTTAAGTAACTTCGAGCTTTGTCTTATACTTTCTATGAGTGCAAAAATTATAACTTTCTCCTATTGAAGATATTTTCCCTGCACTCTTAGCATTAAATTTATAAAAATATATACCCACATGTTCCTTTAAACTGAAATATATGTTGTTCTTTTAAGAGATTTTTCTTACTTAGTTTAAGTTACTGCGAACTTTTTCTCATTTTTATATAGAGAGAAATCTCTGGTTGCACTTTTGGCTATTTTTTGGCTAAATATGCTAACGACTTGGCAGCACTGCAAAAATTATAACTTTCTCCTATTGAAGATATTTTCCGTGCACTCCTAACATTTGCTTTAGCTAATTATAAAATGTTTTTATACTTTCAATTTAAAATATCTGTTTCTCAAAAAGTTATTTTGCACTTATTTTAACTCTGGTTGCCCTTTTAGCCATTTAATGGCTAACTGTGTTGTCGACTTGGCAGCACTGCAACTTCATGCATGCAGATTCATATGCCTGCGGCGGCAAATAGTAGCCACTGGTTAAACGAAGCCAGCCCAACCACCCACCCCCCGACCCTACCCCTCGTTTGCTGCCACGCCCTGCTCCCTGCGCCCAGCGCCACGTTGACAGGCACTTAAAGATGTGCTTGCCAGCGATAAGGTGTTTTGTTTTGGTTTTGGTTTTGCTGGCGGCGGCGGCTTCGGCTTTGGCTTCGTCTGCGGCTTTGGCTCTGTCCGCCTGCCCTGCCCCCCCTCCCCCCCTTCCCGCTGCTCGCTGACAATATGTACATATCTTTATTTATGGTAAATTGGGTGATTTACGTTGCGGCCGATAAGCGTTTGCTTTTCAGCGGCAGCCGCTTGCTCCTTGCCCTGCCCTGCCCTGCCCCGCCCCGCCCCGACTTGCCCTCGTCTCTTGCTGTCCTGTGCTTGTCCTGCGTTGGCATTTGAATTGCCAGGCAGCTCAAGTCCTTGACTGTGCGCTGGGTGCACAAGTCAACGCTGCTAAATGGCATTTGGAATTATTTGAGGCTTTTATAATACCCTTGCAGACATTGACTAGAAAGGGGTATAATGCCTATGTGCAAGTGAGTGTAACAGGCTGAAGGAAGAGTCTCTCAGCCTGAGTCGAATCAGCCCGAAAGAAGGTGTGATTGTCTAGAAGGAAGCCAGAATATTTGTAATGGCAACTCGACGCAGGGCTTAGGGTATCTGTTAGTCGGATACTCCCGACTAGACCGCTCTACTTGTTTTTGCTGTTCGTTTTTAGAGCTGAGTCGAAGAAGCCCGAAAGAAGTTATATTTTTTATAGAAGAAACCCAGAATATTTGTAATGGCAGGACCTAGGGTATCACCCGGTCGTACACTCCCGTCTAGACCGCTCTAGTTGTTTCTGCTGTTCGTTTTTAGAGCCAAATGGGATGAAAAGACGCGGCTGTCAACGCGGGCAGAGCGCGAGACTCTGAGCTGAAGCTGAAGGCAGCAAACAATTTGTGTCGGAATTAAGATAATAGATTACATTTAAATGCGTTTCTTTTTTTTTTGGTGTTGATGTTGTTTCTTCTTCTTGTCTTTTTTGGGAGTCTCAACTGCAAAAAGGGTTCGCACGCGCGTATCTTTGAAATTTGAGTGGCGCTGCCGACGTCGACGTCGGCGTCGCCGTCAGCGTCAGCGTCGACCGCAGAAATTGACGTCAAGCCTCTGGGCGAGATAAAAGCAAGCAGTTGCAGGACACGGCCAGTTGTTGTGCGCCCGTTAACTCCCACACACACACACACACATACCTACTTACATACACACATACTCTCACACACACACTCGCGTCTGGCCTTGAGCAGGAAGAAGCAGCCGGGCTGCTTATCACACTCGCCTCTCGTCCATTTTAATGAGTGTGAAAAGTGAGCTGGTTTTATGGCTGTGTGTCACTTTGGGTTGGGGTTGGGCGTCCCACGACCAAAGGTGGACATTTTATGTTAATGAGTGTCATCATCAGCGCGGAGATTGGAGCTGAGCTGAGCTGAGCTGCAGCCGCTGCTTAGCGCACATTAATGATGTACATCTGTCAGATGTGGCCGAGTGGCTTCTGCCTTTGGCTTTGGCTTTCGTTTTGGCTTTGGCAGCGAATTAATTATTTGCGGCAACCACTTGAATTTCAATCGAACCTTTGTGCGCTAATCGCATTTTCTATGCTAAATAGCGACAAATTACAACAACAATAACAACAGAGACAAGGATAACAAGGATAACAACCAGAAGAAGAAGAAACAGCAGCAGCAGAGACAAAACTACAATTAGAGCTGAACAAAAAAGAAATGTTTAGGCGAAACAATGCACAAGCTGAATGCAAAAACGAAATCAACTTTTCCACTATTTGCTACGCTCCTTTTGGCCTTTCGTTTTGTTGGTTTTTACCCTTTTAGGCAAGGAGGGTCGATTGGTTTGGTGTAAATGTTTGTAACAGGCGGCAGGAAGCATCTACGAAAACCTAAAGTGAACTTATTTTTGATTAGAATCAAGAGCTGAGTCGATATAGACAGATCTATTTGGAGCTTCTTTCTAGATCTTCTATCTAGATCTTATCTCAAAGACTCAGAGCTAGAGTCTTCAGACTTTGAACGTAGCTCCAAATAATTATCGAATTTATTTTAAGTGATGCATAAAAATCGTTATCGAAATACTTTTTGAGTACAAGTCAGACCTGAAAAGAGCCTGACTCGCCAAATTGGGGATATGGGAAATCTTAGAGTATACTCAGGCACAGAATATTTTACACTTCGTCTCGTTCCATCCAGAATTTTAATCGGCTTTGATCGCCCGTGTGGTTGGCGGGCATTAGAATACCACCACAGCATGTCATCGCTTGTCGTACGAGGCGACTAACAGAGACACTTTTCTTATATCCTGCGGGATCATTCGAGTCCTTGACCAATTCGAAGACTCTTCGATGAGGTAGACCCATTTTTGGGTAGCCATTCTTGGGGATTTTCACCCCGCTGATAGCTAATGGCATTTGGGCAACTAAAAATCGACTCTTGAGTACAAAGTTCAACACAACAACGACTAGAAATTATCCTGAATTTAACTAAAAATTTTAAGCCCTGAAGAATTTTATAAAAATCGGGCAGAATACAACAAAGTTAATCAAGAATGAATTTGCCATAGAAAGTGTGAGGCAAAGGGAAGAAGAAACTATGCAACTGTGTGTGCGTGTGTATATATGTGTATATATAGTTGTATATATATATGTATATATGTGTATATGTGAGTGTAGATGTGTATATATATGTGTATATGTGTGTGTATATGTGTCCTTTTATTTACGATGCCTGTTAAACAAGCTTGGAATGCTTGCAATGGCAGCTCGCCGCGGGCTACAGGTTATCTACTAGTTGGGCATACCCGTCTAGATCGCCCTTGCTTGTTTTTTGTTCTAATTGCTGTTGTTGTTTTTGCTGCTGTTGCTGTCAGCACTAAATGCCACCTGCTTGGCGCTACTTCAGCCAGAGCCACTTAATGAGATTTTGTTGAAAATTACGCTTGTATTTATTCTTGTTGTTGTTGTTGTTGTTGTTGTAATCGGTTGTCTTTGAATTGAAATATTTAATTAACACCTTTTGTACTTCGCTATAAAGATGTGCACACAATTGTAAAACATTCGTCAGCTTTAAAAAGCAGCGCGCGTTCTCCAAAAAAAAAATGTCGACGTATACGTGATAATTGAGAATCTCGCAAGCGCAGAGCTGCAAAAGTTGGCCTCAAATTGAAAATTTAGTTTGGTTAATGGATAAATTGGAGAATTAAAGAGAGAATTTCTTGAAAGTCTAAAAAGGATATATGTTCTTGAGGAATAAGCCTACTTCCCTGCAAACGAGTTCTCTTTCTTAAAGTTTACTTGACGAAACTTGGCACAAATCTATCTTTTTTTGCCATACATACATGCCCAAGGAACTTTATGGGTCCAAAATTCCCACTCCCATAACTCGGCCAAAACTCAACCGCTTTTTACGAGGTTTAGCTTTTTGTTCATAGGTTTTCCTCTAAAATAATCTGGCATTCAAATCAGACCACACATTTTTTAGTCGAAATTCATGTCAAGATCTTACCCCAAGATTCGTATAAAGACATGGGTCAATATTTCCCAACCCCATAACTCGGTCAAATCTCTTCCGATTTTCACGAGGTT